CACATGTAGTGCATCTACAATCAAGGAGGAGATAGGTACGCGAGTTGATTCTGACAAGCTGTGACCGCCTGATGATAGATGTTCTTTCGGCTGGGGCTGGTGCCTGCTCATTCATGTCTGAGCGTCTGAGCTGTCGAGCAGTCAGATTGTTGCGGAGAACCCTCGTCTTGACTAAGTATGCAGGTGACGACGTGATCAACGGCTGATTGATTGAGGTCACAGCAGTAGGCACGGTATTCCGGCGTGCGACTTCCCGCCCCAGGCGGATTCAACCAGCCTTTTGGAGGATTCAACAACCCATCCCCCGACCTCTCCTCCCCGGCTGCATGATGGGTATGACATGCTGCAATTTTTTTCGTTCTCTTTTTCTCGAATCAAAGTTTCGCCGTATTTTATCTTTAGCATACACTAGGATTATTTGCTGTTTTAAATTCCGATTCCGGCGTCGTCAGAGCAAAGGAATGACATTTGACAAGTTGAGAGCATGGACACACGTACACACAACTAGGCATACCACACCACTACGAACCATGGCAATGCAGCAAGGGGCGGAGTGAGCACGACGGCGTGCCCAAGGGAGGTGCCGCGGCAGCAGGTGCAGCAGCAGCAAGTGGAGTGGGCGACAAGAAATGAATGTGAGAGGCGGCGTGTGTAGGGCTATAACACATTCACATGCGGGAAGGGCTAACACACAACAAAGACAGCCCGAGAGAGAGCAGCAAGTAGCGAGTAAATGTATGGGAAGAAGAGTAGGAGCGGCGGAGCAAAAAGACCACCACAGAATAAGCAAGCAAACAGCCCGGCCATTTCTTGTGGTCACCTGGCAGCAGCTAGCTCCTCCCCGGTGTTCCAACTCGGGTGTGCACTAACGTATCTTTTGTGGCTGCACGCGCGACCGGACGTGCGACAAACAACAAGCTGTTGCTGCGGCAGTGCGCCGGAATTTGCGAGTTATTTGATGATTCCGTCTTTGGTTCGGAAGAAAAGAGTTCATCAACAACAACAACAACACCCGAGGCACGTCAAACGACCAAGGGCTTTTGGTGTGAGACCAACATCAACTAACTGCTCTGCGTCGGTGGCAAGCACGGCGGCCTCTGTCACGCGTCAGCGCCCGCCCCCGCGTGATGGCCTCCGGTTTTGGGCCCCTGGCAAGAAAGGCAGGCGGGGGCGAGCGCGGCGCCCTTACGACAGCAGGGTGGAAAGAGCGGGGGCATAACAGGAGTCTCTCGGCCGAATCAACTCCAGACAGGCGTGTGGGATCGGCACGCAGGGAGCTGCGGGCCTCCTCCTCGGCTCAGCAGGCTCCTGCGTTCAACGAGGGCGAACCTTCGGCTTCTGCTGCTGTTGCTGCTGCTGCTGCTGCTGCTGCTATCGTAGCACCAGCTGCTGATGGTGCTGCTCCACAACAGGTCTTTCTTTTAGCCCGGGGCTGTATGTATTTGTTGTGAGAATTCAGTGTGCCCACACTCTACAGGCGATATGGCTGACGGATGATTTTCTCTGTACTCCGGATTTCAGCAGGGGGGTGTCTGCTGCTGTAGACTACGTATATCCCATGGATCCAAGGTTGGTGCACAGCAGGAATCAATCATACGCATACGTTGATGTGGGCGATGACCGGTGTAGTCTACAGCAGTGCAGCAGTTTCTCCCCTCGGCGCTGACCCGTTAGACTGTTGCCATTGGCATGGCTGACGCATGACGACGCTCACTTGCCTGTGCGTCCGCTCTACCCTCTGTGCATCTGTGTTGTCTATCGGTCAATGCTGCTGGGTTTGAGTTCGAATTTCGTAGTCTAGACTTTGTAGCACAGCATTGGGCGGGCGTTCCGTCAAATGCCGGATCCGACACTCATTTGGACCCGCTGCTTCGCTCGGTTATCGAGGATCTCGGTACTGCTGTACTTCTTCTACAACCGTACAGCACCCCAGTCGGATGTGTAGTGTAGACATACAGCAGTAGATACAGTCCGTGGTGGAATTTATTGATCCCGATCTGGTCTCCACACACTACTGCTGTACTGAAATACCCCAGACAACGGTCGACGAGGGATGAACCTACTTTGTACTGCTGCTGCGTATGCATCACAAAACCAGAGGATCCAGGATGCTGAGGTGTTGTTGCTGTTCGTTGTGTTGGCCTCTACGTACAAGCGGTGGTCGGGCGCTTTGTCGGCCGAATACAAGTAGGTGTCCCTGCGTCGATGTCTTATTTTTTTTCAACGGCCAAACATTTAGCTGTTGTAGACCGCAGGGTCAAAATGGATACAGCAGTTGTATGCAAACCTTTCTTGAACCTTTCCATGTAATGTAGGCACATTCATGAGACAACGAGAGGTGTGCGTGCGTGCGTGTTTGTGTTACCACAAGGGGATTTTCGTGGTGTCGTCGTGTTTCTCCAGGTGGGTGTATCTTCGTCCACAGCCTCTCGCTCAAGTTCTTACTTTTTTCGGGCCCTCTGTGTGTGTACCGCAGTGGGCCCTTTATAGTGCCGGGTGCCCGGTATAGTGCCGATGTTTCGGGCTCCGCTCACACTGAAATGCGAAGTCGTTCTGTACTTTGAATAGTGCCGTAGTGCCGGTGTACAGCAGCATAGCGCCGGTGTACGGCGTAGTGCCGGTGTACGGCGTAGTGCCGGTGTACGGCGTAGTGCCGGTGTACGGCATAGTCGGTAAATCTTTGGACATATATGCATACATACCATTGCAGAGGGCCCGCTACTATTTAGCTGTAATGTTGTGGTAGCTCTTTTTTTTTGTACAACGGATGTTCTTCGCATCAGTTGCAGCAGCAGGGGCAGCAGAGAGAGCAGCGACGACCATGCAAGCAATTCGCAAGCTGTGAGCGCAACCGAACGCACCGTCGTGCCAAAGTGATGCCGGGGCATGCCCTCACGGGTTCTCTCCCCGACGTGAGAGACCGATACATCTCACGGGACGTACCGGCACCAACGAAAGCGTTGCATCTTTCCCTCAGGGAAGGAACTCTGCTGGTGACGGAGGTGTACAAGTACTACTTTTTTTTTATAAATTAACGCAAATTCGCTGCTGTTGTTGGCGAGTACCGGCCCGTTTTATTGAGAATACATCCCACAGCAGTAGCCTCAAACACTTCCGAAAAAGTGAGAAACGTACAAACTGGAGACGTTGACGATTGTCATCGCCGGCCGGTACTGCTGTGGTCCGTAGCCTTTGTTATACAGGTTTTACCGTGGTTTTTGTTTTGTGGATGTCGCCGGTGAAAGGGGGGGGGTGTTGGGAAGGAAATTGAGGTGACGGAAACGTCGGTAGGGTTAAAGCGGGTTGGTTTTCCCATCAATGTACACGTGCCCCACCCTACCCCGCCATTGCTTCGTGGCAGTATTTGAAGAGGAGACTCAACTTTGTGCGCAGAGCTATGCATAGTTTATGCAAAGGAGTACCAGTATCATGCTTGCTGTCCATCATTTCACCATGCATGCTGACGGACGCAGCCAGCGAGCTCGTGTCACCACTTGTTTCACGGTGCATCCATCCCATGGAACATCCCATGGAACATCCGAATCTGTTGCACATACTCCAATGCCTCAGCTTCTTGTGAGGGACTCAATGTACTAGAGAAATTGTTTCGACTCCCTCCTACCCCCCCGCCAATTTACTGAGAAATTGTTTCGACCCCCCCCCCCCGCCCCTATCGTGAAAAGAGGGCAGCGACGGGCGAGCAGAAAGGGGCGAACGGGCAGAATGGAAAACGCCACAAAAAAGTGGATTCGAGCGCTTCCTCCGTGGGCTTCGCGGATGGCGGGGGAGGCAGGCAGACGCTAAACCTCGCGGCGGTAAGTCCCACGTGCGGAAGGCGTTTTGGGTCATTAGCATCGAGCTCGCTAACCGGCTGCTATCCAAGGAAGAAACGAGAGTCTCAGTGCGGCTGAAAATAAAACCCGGTGTGTTTCGTTACTGACATCGACCGCGCTCACCGGCTGACCAATGAAAAGACGCCAGTCTCAGTGCGGCTGAAACGGAAAATGTTTCTAAAGGCCGTCATGAGATGGGATCCCGCGAGGGGGGCGTCATGGGGGAGGGGCTAAGCTACTCCACGGATTACAAGCAAACACCGTAGAATAGCAACCGAAGAGATCCGCATGTGTGTGTGGGGGGGGGTGTGATGCGGCATGGGATGGGTGGGGGTGTTGGTTTCGTCGTCGTGTTGTTTTTTGACTGTTTCGCCTCTTGGTTGGGACACTTGGGAGCGCTGGAGCTTTTCAGGTGCCTGTGTAGGTAGGCGTGTTATGCCGTCGAGATGGGACAGATTCCCGTTGACGGTTACAATATTACCGTCAAGGTTGGAGAGAAACCAGTTGACCTTGATTTTCCCGTGCGCTTGGGTGTTTGGTCGTGGATAATGATTGTTTTCATGGTTAGTGGTTTTAACCGTCTGGTGTCTTTGCTTGCAATCGCTCATGACGCCGCCTAGCGGTGGCTGCGGTGGGGGTGCTGTTACGGCTGGTGGTGCTGTCGTCTATCGTTGCTGCTGTCGTCTATCGTTGCTGCTGTCGTCTATCGTTGCTGCTGTTTTGTGGTCCGCGCTGCCGCATCCCAATGTTTGCTGGATCGGATCCCTCGCCAATTCCTCCGCCCATCATCTTCAACTCCTTGGACGATCAAAAAAAGAAAAGAAAAAGATGGATGATCAACCATTGAGATGGACGCGCTTTCGTCCTCCTCTTTTGTGTTGGCTTAGCTCTCGATGCTCCGTTGTCTGCTACGTCGAAGTATTATTTTCTGTCTCCCGTGGCCTCTTGTCTATTTTTGTCGTTCCTTGTCTTTCCGCTCGACGCCTTGATGGCGGAGGCCCCACTAAAACAGTAATGTAGAATTGACCTTTCACGAGCGGATGGACTCGCTTTCGCTTTTCCCTTGGTCCTCACTTATCCCTCGCTGCTCTATTGCCTGCTATTTGTTCGTCGCCCGTGTTGTCTGTATTGGTGTACCTCGTTTTGGGTCTTCAGCTCGATGCCTTGATGGCGGAGGCCCCCAAGGAGCTGGTGAGCTGCTCGAGCGTGGAGGTGGTGTCCGAGGGCGGCACGATCGACGGCACGGCCGACCTTTGCCTTCATCCCGTCGAGGTATCTATGTCGTCTATGTAGACAAGAGAAGGTGTTTCTTGTGTGTGTGCTTTTATGGAGTAGCAACATCAGCGCTAACTGGTGACCAATGCAAGGGCGTAAGTCTAAGCGCGGTTGAGAACAGGAAATGCTTCAAAAGGCCATGATCTGGGACCCCGTGAGGCAGTGTGTGTGTGTGTGTGTGTGTGTCTCTCTCTCTCTCTCTCCGTCTCCCTCGGTCTCACTGTCCCTCTTGTCTTCTCGGTTCGTCCTCCCTCACTCTTCTCGTCTTGTACCCTTGCTTCGGGTGGTCGCCAACTGTTTTTTCTTTCATTTTTCGTGAAGGATTTCCTCTTCATTGTTGGTCGGTTGACCGCAATTGACAGCGTCAGGATAGACAGTTGGATCACTCAAGAATAATCAGGTGGTACGTTCGCATACGTGTGTTGCCTCCTCGGTACTAACAGCTGAGCACGCTAGAAATCCCTTCCCGTTTCGCAGCACATGATCTGATGCGTACATGCACAAACGTTGTTCTCTTCCTGCTGCCGAACGAATTCGACGTATCTGTCCCGTCTTACACCATCGCAGCATGCAGACGCATTGCTCTCGGCGCAGGAGGCGCAGGGCCCAAAGCATGGCATCCGAGCGTTTCAGGACGCGAGGTGGGACGAAAGACAAG